TGCCCAGGATGCCTTGCAGGGATGAGACTCATCCCTGACTTGCTGTCTGCTCATGTGTGTGAGCTCCACTGTGACTTTTCATCCTGATCTTCCCCATTGTCCCACCATGCCACGGGTGTTTCTGCGAGACAAGCTCCACAGCAGTGTGTTTTGAAGGGCAGACTTAGAAGCCTCCTCTTCAGACCCAGCTCATCCTCCAGCCCTGTCCTGACTCATGCCCTATCAGCATCTCAGCCCTGGCTGGGGGTGGGACAGGGGGAAGGAGTGCCACAGACCAAATCTCTTCATTGCACCACCTTAGAGGTGATATATGTGGATTTTATGCCTTAAATCTATCTAATAAACCAAATTCTCTGTAATAATTTTTTTTTGCAGGAAACAGTGGTGCAGCCATGATACTGGTCCTACAGATTTGAACAAACCCAGAAAAACAATCCCAGTCATCCAGGGCAGGAGTTGGGTAATCATTTCATGCTTTGTTTGCAAATGTAGATGTCAGCAAGAGGGTGCTTAAATCCTGCATGGAGCATAGTGGAAACAGGCCCAGCCTCTCCTGCCCTTGCTCTTTTACTCAGAGTAAAACACTCACCTTTGTGCTATGCAACAAACTCAGTTTTTGGGCACCCACAAGTGGCACAATCCTTAATGCTGTTTTTCTAGGATAGTCCCTTTGTGATTTGCAAGCAAAATAATGCCTCACTGTTCTTTGCATACTTGCAGTCAGCAGTCATTAGTGCAGCCTTGGAAAGGAGAGGAAAAAGAGTGTTTTCATGCTAATATTTTCTTAAAATATGGCACAAATCCAGCACCAACAAACAATGTGGGGTGGAACTGTGATAGTATCACATGCCTCAAATGTCTTAGTTATGTGACAGCTTAACTAAAGCCAGGAAGTTTTCCTTAGAATCGACTTTGTCTACCTTGGAAAAGAAAAACCAAGAAAATTTATGCATCAAAAAGTCCAGCTGGAAGATTTTCCTTTTTGCCAATCACTTCAAATTAGCTGATGTGTTTTCTCCTGGAGTGGGTTGAGCACAGCACCCAGACTGCACACATTGTTCCTTGGCTGCAGTGATGCACATGGCAAATTTCTCTAATATATCATTTATCCTGCGCATGCTTGAGACTTCATGATGTTTGTGCAGTTCACATGGAGCCCATGTAGCATGGGTGCTTCTGCACTGCTCTCCAGGCTCAGGGTGACAGTGTCCAACAGACAGCTGGTACAGGATTATTTTAGGCTGTGGTCAGACACCAGAGATGCCCTTTGGGTGTTCAGTACATTCAGTTTCCTTCCATCCACTCAATTTGTTTTTCTGTTTGATAGAAGGATCTATCTAAAGTGACACCTTGCTCTGAGAAAACATGGTATTGAGAGCTAATTGATTGCATTATAATTCTGAGCACAGAAGCTTTTTATTTTTGTGTGGGAAAGAGCTGTTATTTTATCCCTATCTCAGGTGGAAAGGTCATAAGCAGGAGCTGTAATACTGTTGCATTCCAGAATGAAATGCTGCTTGATAATATTTTTATAAGCCTGCACTGATTCCAGCATTAGCCTTTTGGAGAAAGATAGATGGGGAAAACACAAATATCCCTGGTCAGACACAAATCCAGTGCTCACAAATCCTGGCTTGGGGCAATGGAAGGAGATGCGGGTACAAGAGGTGAGGATGAAGGTCAAGGAAGCATCCACTTTTCTCAGGGCTTTGCTGCACCCAACTTAACCCCCACCTAGAAACCAGGCTGGGGGACAGCATGAATCAGCAGTGAATTCCTGGCACTGGGCTCAGCCAGGTTCATGGTGGCTCACAGGGGACCCTAGGCACTCCTGCTGGACCCTGTTTTGGGGAACACCGCATCTGAGCTGGCTCACATTGGCTCAGCCAGCTCCATTATGCCTCCAGGCATCTAAAAACATTCTCTGTGCTGTCCTGGACAGCCCAGCTGCTGCCTGCCCAGCACTCAGCTAGTTTTGCTCCTCCTCAGTAAATAAATTTTGATCTGTAGCATATGACCACAGTGCAGCTGCTTGTGCAGCAATATTGTCAGACCAGTAACACACAGCCCTCTGACATGGCCTGTGATACTGAAACCCCTCCCAGATACCAAGGCACAAAAACCACCAGTTTGCACCAGTTTTCTGCTGAAATCCTGCAAGAGTAATGATATATGCTAGCTCAAAGGAGTACCAAACCAAACTCTCAGTGTGTCAGCAGCTAAGTGGAATAGAGGCCTGAGCCCAAAACATGCAATGTTTTAAACCAGACACTGCAGGAAAACAGAATAAAGTGGTGAAACAACACTTTTACCCTGGACCAGGACTGCCGTGCTTGGTAAAACCTGCAAGAAAAGGGGATTAAAAACCACGAGACAGTAAAAAATTCCAGCGATGAGTGAGTGTTTACCAAAGGCTACATGCCACATGGATACATGAGGTGTCCCTTGCTCATCTGGGATGAGACAAATTAATTGACACCTGAACAGAAATTAAAGCAAATTAAATCCCTTTGAAAGGGATGAGCATTCCTATTTTTTGAAAAATAAAAAATATATATAACACTTTAGGTTTTTCTTTCACAGCAAAATAATCTCTCTTGTTTGTCACAGCAGTCTGGAACTATTTTTAACACTGCTAATGAGTGACTAAAGTGGGGTGGAGTAGCTAAGCCAGCTTGCTGCTCCAGCCACCCACAAGGTTTTTCTGACAATCAGAGGAGTACCTGGACCAGAGCCAGCTCATATGAGGAGTCAGAGCAAAGCGCCTGCAAAGTGTCTGTGTCCTGGGACACACATGGCGGAAAAAATGCACCATGGTGGAAAAAATGCAGCTGAGCAAAAAAAGGCCTAGACTTCACACAGGGCAGGTATGTCCAGTGCTTGACATCAATCTCTGAGAATAATGCATCTCAGAGATGCATTAATCTCTGACCAGAGCTCATAAAGGATGTAGTTGGCATCTCATTTCTCCATCAGAAAAAGACAGGAGAAAAGCCATCTGTGCAAACAAGTTATTCCTGGACTAGAGAACATCCAATTAAAGGCAAGTAGTGGTTTCTCACAGGGTCAGTAAATTAATAGAAAATGATAAAGTCATTATGGTTGGAAAGACCTCCCAGATCATCAAATCCAACCATTAACCCAGCATCCCTGTGTTCACCATTAAACCACAGCCCCGAGACCCCCATCCACACACCTCTTGACCACTTACAGGGATGTAACACCTGGCCCCTGTCTATCCTTCAGAATGGTCTTGGCAGAGGTCCATTGGCATTCAGGGGATTAGAAGCTGTTGAAAGGGGAGCATCCAGCATCCCTTCTCCCATGACCTCCAGGACTGCTACATTCAGAGGAAGGACCGAAAATAACTGGAAAGTACCAGATGGCAGCTGGTGGATGCAGCATCCCAGTTGCCAAGTCCTTGCCAGCAAGGAGAGTACACACTGAATGGGAGCGAAGACAGTCACTGGAGCACGACAGCAGCAGGGCAGCTCAGGAACACAGCAACATCCTGGGCCTGAATGCAAGAAGCACTCCAGATAAACAACGTTCTAGAGAAGCCTATATGTGTATCTATATTGTTTTAATCTATACATGTATAAAGAAAAGCCTGCCTGATGTAGAAAACTGCTGTGAAATGTTCAAAACTCTCTTATGCTAAATCATTAAAGGCAAATTATAGTGATGGGTTAATTATGTTTATTGCAGAAGAGCAGTGAGATGTCATAAACCCAGGAACACTCTGGTGCATGGTGCTGTAGTGGTATAAGTCAAAATGCCAGACTAGCAGAGCCTCTGTGCCACAGCCCTCTATTCCATCCTCATGCCTCTAAAAGCCAGGGAAGAGAGCAAGCACCTGTGTGCCTGGTGTAGAACCTGCACTGGCAAGGGGTCCAGACACCTTTGGGTTACTTGGACACTTGTTCGCTTTCCCCAGGTGTGCCAGACAGCTGGACAACGTGGACACAAACCTTGCAACAATGGCTCATAGCATGACCCTGTCAAGGCAGAGCCACTGATGCCTCATGTTCTTGCAATAAGGGGCACCATTTAAAAACAAGGGCTTTTGTCCTCCCACACTGTCCAACCTCACTTGTCTGATTCACCAGAACCAAGGGCTTTATAAGCCATCTTGAATATTTCCAACCTCCCAAGGGAAGCACTACATTTAAGGGCATTTTAATAGACTGTCCTTTCAGATCTTGCAGAAAAATTATATAAGCATTTTGCTTTGGAAGGGATGGAAGAGGGAGGGAAAAAAAGATCAATATTTTTAAGTAACAGAATTATAATTCACTAGAATTATAGCACATGCCAGTAAGACAGATGTACACAATACAGGTTGGAAATCTTTGCTTTGGCTCATAGAGGAAGTCAAATTATATTACCATGTAGCCTTAAAAATCAGGTAATTAAGTGACTTGGCATAACAAAACAAAACTACTTGGATAAGTATTTGTGAACTTAAAAGAGAAGAAATTGGTTTTTTTGTAGAAATATTAAAAAGGAGTGGTTTTTTTTTTTTTTCAGTGCTCATCTATAGCGAGACAGGACATTTTTGTGTCTTTTATTAGTTTAGTTGAAACAATTCCCCTTGTGATCTCAGACTGATGTAGAACATGTGACTACTAGAGCAAACTTGTCAAATTAAAAAAAGAATTCCTTTAAAAAATCTCAGTTTGTAAATAAGTATGATAAATACCTGATGTGGCTAAACTTGTATTATTTATAAAATTATGCAAGGTGTTATAACTGGAGTTGTGGCAGCAGAGATATTTGATGTAACAGTCATAAACATTTATACCAGCTCAGAATTTGTTCTATAAAAATCACAAGCTCTGCTATCTCAAAGGTCAGATTGCCTTCAGCAACTACATAGAGCTGTCAGAAAAAGCTAATCATGCTCTATTATATTATATTAATGTATAACTAATGGACAATGAAAGATAAACCCACAGAGCTTATTTACAAAAAGAATCTCTTACACCTGCAGAGGCTGGGAAAATAGAACATCCTACCTGCAGGTTTTTGCTGAATGGTATTGTAATCGCACCCAATGAGAATCAAGATTTCCTCTCAGAGCTACTATGAATTCATTGCTTTCCAGAAGATGATGATACATTAGTGAGAGGGCAAAATAGAACCTTCAGGCATAAGTATATTACAGACCTTCTAGAAACTGCAAGTATGGCCATAAATTGCAGCACTTTCAAAACATAAATAATGTGCTTTGCTGGCCTGTGGTTGAAGTCTCTTGCCAGTGGCCTAAGACTGTTTTAAACAATATGGAGATCTCAAATCCAGCTAAGAAGTTGCAGCATTGAATTTATGCTAACTGCATCCCTGCACTTATGGGTTATCAGCTGCATTGATAAGAATTGTACTTCTTATCAGGTGATGGTAAATTAATGAACACAAAGATTAAAAAGGCCTGGAGTCCTTTCAAGAGGGTTACATGAAAAGCCTTAAACAGCCAATCTACGGCCACAACAAGCATACTGCCCAGGTTAATACCACAAACATTAGAAATTATTTACTGTATAGAAAAGGATTGTTTTGTCATTCCCCAAACAGTATTCTTCCAGCTGAGAGAAAAACACAGGATAGCTGCAGTTCATTTCTTCTTGATTCACAGTTGCAAATAATAAAAGTTCACAGAAATAACTTTCTCATTCAAAACAAAGTAGAAACATTCAGTTGCTAGAAGTACACATCCCGTCTTCTGTCATGAATCTGAATGCCTGAAAGACATGGCAGCATCAGGACAGTCAAACAGCACAGTCCTTGCAATCTCTTAAGATGCTGTGCAAATAAAATTGCACCTTTGGTTTTGGTGCAAAAGAACCCTTACTAGAATAACAGAATAACCTATTCAAAGTATCCCCAAAACACTGCACATCAAAGAACCAACAACGGGGTATGACCAGTACCAATACACTAATAAAACTAAGGAAGCCTGAATGCTTTGGGAATAATTTCTTAGAACAGTTCATCCAGCAGTATGGAGGGTTTGTTGGTGCAAACTGCAGCAGTGCTACCACATGTGGGCTGTTCTATCTTTCTGGGACTTGAAACTTGGGCAGCAAGTGCAAAACAGGCATTGTGAAATAGCAGCCTGAAGGCATAAGCACAAAAACTAAGTAAACTAAGTAAATGAGATACATGGGTAAAAAACCCCCATGTATCTCATTTTAATATAATGTAGTGCTTTTTTTCCTCTTTGTTAATGTAGTTATGGGAGGTGGTGGCTCTATCTGGGGGAAAAATGAGCTTTTGAAACACAAAAGCAAAGAAATATCTTTAATACTACATGCATAAGCAAGACTGCTGTCTGATTTGTTCTAAACCTGCTGGTTTCTTTACTCACCTGCAGTGGCATGGCTTACACTGGGATTTTCTGAGCCTTGGTAAGAACTTGCTTTCCTCTCTTAAAAAAAAAAATACTGGGGATGAGCAGAGATTCAACACAGAGCTAAAAGTAGACAGTAGTTACTAAAGAAACCTTGTGCTTTTGCAGCCCAGCCTATAGCACAGGTGCTGAGGAGCTCTGTGCTGTCTGGCACAGCAACATACACTTCCATAAATATAAATATCAGCTGTTCTTAAACATGACACAGAACAAGAAGAAGTGTATTTAACACATAGAGCCAGGAAGCAAGCACTCCTACAGTTGAACTAAATGTACACATCCTAGGGATTTGCCAAAAACTCCCTATGAACATGGATCAGCCATTTCTTTCTTATCTATGTTGTGTTGTTTGATAATCACAAGAATGGTGTTACATGTGTGGTGCTTAGAGACTCTCGAATATTCAGAATGGCCCAGTATACATCCTGAAAGAAACAGCTTTAATTGGTAATGGCTGGAGAACACCAAACTGTTTAATTTCCTTTTCAATTTTTTCCTCACTCATTTTCTTTCTGAATTTTTGGGATAAAAGCCCACTGTTGTTAACAGTGCTTCCCTGTTACCAACACAAGACTAATTTAATAAAATAGCTCTTTTTCTGAAGGAGTCAGTTCCTAGGGCTCCCAAGACTTGATAGGCTCGCAGTGCCCCCTTGGGGGAAGAGAGCACCTTACCTTGTTCTTAAATGAAATCCCAGTTCAGACTAGTGTCTTTAAAGGAATTAAACTCTCATTCACTACCTACATTCACTAGGGTGAGTGCCTATGCAACACATACAGAAAACCTCTCCTCATACAGCGTGAGCAGAAAGTTTGCATTCCAACTGAAGATACAGACACTCTCCCTTTAACATGAACAGACAGGCATTAGACATTCTAGCAGTAATGAGTTAGCAAAATATGTACAGTCACAAAACACTCATAACAACATAGATCTGTTGTATCCTCAAAAGAAGAACTGTAGATAAACTCCTGCTTGTATCTGCAGGCAGTTTTAGCCCACATTCTGCCAAATTCCTGCAGATGCAGTTTCGAAACTGGTAACCAGGAGGTATTTCACAGCTGCTTATTTTTCTAAACCTAAGCCTCAGGATTGCTTCTTCACATGCCCAATGTTTTTTGTTTAGAAGCACTGGGAAGGATGTACTGTATTTTTCCAGTAGACTCCCTAAACAATTTCACAACCCTTTTCCTTGCAGACAAGTGTCAAACTGCCTTACTGGGGAATGCCCAGGAAGAGCAATGCAGATGTACTCCAACAGGCATCAACGCTTTGGCCAGGAAGCCTGACCCCAGAGACCTTCTCAAAGACAGAATTACTCACAAGAGAACAATTTTATCCAGCAGATCTAGATGCTGTGGGGACATAAATGAACTTCAGGCATCTTTCTGCTGTGCACTGGTAGTACCTAGGATTGGGATTCCTAGTAATTGTGGATAAAAAGCAACAATCATCACTGTGTGAGTTACATTAGCTCTGGGAAATCTGCAGGGAGCAGACATAGCCTTTGGCAGGCAGGGCAGCAGCACCTCATGGCAGGGAGCTCTTAGCCAGGACACAAGGCAAAGCTGGTCCACCAGCCCCTGTACCCTTCACCATTCCAGCTACAGACAGAGACTGAGAGGGAGAAAAACCCCTGGCCATGCTGGTAAGAGCTGCAGTTTCCCACCCTGTACTCAGAACATAATTAACAGCCTGCACAGTAAGACAGGCTGCTCAGGGATCCTTCCTGGCCACCCCTTTCTGGCCACAATGAGGGAGTATCTGGTATACACCACACCTAATACCTATATGTATTAGAGATTAAGATAGCACTATGAATAATGCTTATAGTCACTTAAAATGTCTCCCCAACATAAGCCAGAAGGTGAAATATTGTGTGATTAGGGACAATTTTTTGCACATTTTTTTATTAACCCAAACAATATGGCTAATTGTTTCCAAGTACCACAGTATATACCAGGGTTATTTACTGTAAAAGATTTCTGTGAGTTTGCCAGAAGTTGGATCCTGCTTGAAAAGCTTAGGAACAGATGGCATTATTCTGGCACTTTACATCAGATGTCATCAAAGAATAAAGTGATAGTATTTTCTTACCTCCCCCAGGAGCTGAACTTTGACTCATATTTTGTAACCTCGCAGGTCCAGTCATACAAGCAGAACTTGAGTGTTGCTTCATGGTGCATTCTTGCATAGATGTTAAGCATCTTTCCTGTTGCAGAAGGCCAAGAAGAGAACTGTATTTCCTGTCAGAGATCAGCTCATCAGCTGCATGCAGGTCAGGAAGGGTGTGAGGATACACTGGACCAGTGACACTGGGAGTCCCAGTTGGAGGGAAGGGCCATAAATCTGCAGGCTGAGCTGGACGACTCCGCAGAGATGATGGCTGGCACTGGCCTACCACACCAGCAGCAGAAAAATTCAGAGCAGAATTTGCCATGCTGGTTGAAGAAGATGATGGATATGGTTTGTAGCAATGCGAAGAGAAATTCCACTGATGGGGAGACATGCTGTCTACTTAAAAAGGAAAAAAAGCATCTGAAGTCTCATCAAGTCTTACTTTTTTCCTAAGGCAAATTCCAGTGGACTTCTAAGAGAATGCTACCAGATTGCATATTCATTTTTACAGAAATACAAAATCACTTTAGTGCTGCTTATCTTAAAAATCAACCACAAGCTCATAATAAAAGCAGATTAAACCACTACCATCAATCTTTCTACTAATACTAAGTATTTCTACTGTGTTGTGTGCATTACACAGCCACCAACTTATGCAGGTTTTTGACAGCTGCAGGCTTAGACAAATATATATTTGTGAAGATGACAACTTAAGTCATAATGCACTTATTGCATCCAGCAGGGATGGGGACACTTGGCTGGAAAATGATGATCTAGTCCTGCCAACAGGCCCATGAAAAGCTTAGGATTCACTCCAGCAATCACAGGGATTTACCCAGGAATTCCCAGCCTAGGGCTTTACAAGTATGATTCTCTTGCTTTCTATTTGCACACAATTTCAAATTTAAGCTCAAGGGATCTTAAATTCCTTAGTAAAAGCCAGTCATCCCTATCCAACACCAGGCTCACATATGGAAAGGAGCTCACTGTTTTTCAGTCTCACCTTTGTGCTTTGTGCTCAGGTCTTGAGGGTTCTTGGCATTGCTGAGAGCTCTAGAAAAATGTTCATCTACCATGCTGTTAATGTCCCCTTGGAAATAGGTGAACACCACGCTCTGAGATCCCCATTCTGTTTTCACAGGCTCTTTGCTTTTACTCAGTTTTGGGGAAAACTTCCTTGTTTCTTCCATTTTCAATGACCAAGAGTCTCTGCAAAAAAAACCCAAACGAAAACCCAAAAAACACAAACCAAAAAACCCAGACAGGTCAAAGAGACAATATTTAACTTCAAGTGCCTAGAGGGTGGCGAGCCCAGCTTCCTCCCAAAAATGGTAGGGGCCAGAAGAACACTTGGTAGGAATGGATTCTCTGTTTTTCTGCTTTTTCCATGCACCTCTTCTTTACTGATTTCCCTGTTAGATACTTCTAAAATGAAATACTTAGGTAGAATGGGCATATCTACCCACTAGCTTTCATTTCTCACCCTGACTTTTTAAGTCTGGGCTTAGGATGTATACTGTGCGAATGTGCCCTCTGGAAGAACTGGGACACTTAAAAAAATAATTCAGAAGTGGCACTATCCCTGAATGAAGTTCAGGGTGAAGTTATCAAAATGCTTTGTCCAATTTAGGTTTTTGTGTTCAAAAAAAAATGACAGAGTGAAAAAAAAACCAAACAAAACAAGAGCAACAAAACCCCCAAATCCCACTATACTACATTAGAGCTGAAAATAATAATTTTAGATAAGGTAAAGTGTCAAATACCTTAATGACTGTCAGCACAGATCTCCAAAACAAAAAGCCTTCTAAGAGTAATTAGTTGCTTCACCTGTTGGAAAAAGACATTCAGATTAAATTATTGGAAATTCAAATCATGGCAAATTCAAGTAAAAACACACCACAAAACAACATCAAAAGAAATAACTTTTTCTTTTGAAACAACTAACCTAGGAACATGGTGGTTCTGCCAGCTGCTTAAAACTTTGGAGCAAGACTGCTAAAACACACACTGTGGGTCGACCAGAATTTACAGGTTTAAGACAGGAACTCCACTAAAATAGTTTGCAGGAAGTTAACAGAAGACTATAAGGCTCCTTTTTGTTCTCTTTAAAAATCTCTGCTGCCAGGTATGGTAAGAATAGGACAAGGAATGTCACTGCTTGCCTGGAGAAGCATAATTTTCATGCATTTGTATAGTTTCTGGCCACAAGGGAGCAACTTCCCAGCCAAAGCTCACAAGTCCTGCTCTAATCAAAATCATATTTAGCAAGACTCAGGCTACAAATGCAGTGAAGTGCCTGCTGTTTCTATTCAATTTTCCAGTCTTATTGTCAGCTCATGACACTGCATAGTATAATTGATTTACTTTGGGAGCAAAAAGGAAGGCTGTTATTTTTCAGAGATCAGGGCAACCTTTGGCCAATAGCCAGCTGTATCGCATAAAACCTCATGAATCATTAGATATGTGTTTCCATCCAACTGACTCTGCAATACACACCACTGCTTAACCCAGTTCAACACATTCGTCTGATTTCTTTCCTAGTCATACATCCCCTAATCCTCAGAAGCTTCCCAATAAACACACTCATCTGTATCTCAAAGGATATCCTGAAGTGCCTGTGTAGTCTGCCTTCAAATGATTTCTCAGAATTCTCTTGCACATGAAAAAAACTGCTCAGGCTGCAAGACAAATATTCAGAAAGTACTAGGAAACATGAAGATTAAGGTTGTCAAGCCATAATCTATCCCCATTCTAATGCTTATGCCTTCACCTAAAAACTTTTTGTCCATGTTTATTATTTCCTTCCCTATTTAGTTTTGCTTGTTTACCTCCATCTCCCACCACTATTCTGTTCTGTGCTCTGTTCAATTCTCCCTGACTCATGGTCACTTGCTCAGCCAGCCCTAATCTCCTGTCACCAACTGCTAACTCATGTCCAAACTCAGGAGCTCCTTAGTCCTTATTTTAGAATTTCTATTGCTTTGCCCCATCCTCCTAGATTCACCTAAACACAGCAGTGGGAGCAGGACTGCAAGGCCACATTCTGATTCAGAAGACAATCTTTCACAACTTTAAAACTGACCCAGCTTTCCCAGACATAGAAAACTTAAAGAAATGCTTCCTCCCAATTTACAGGCACCTTTCCAAGGCACATGAGGGGAAGCAGGAACTAGCACAAGCTAGCCACACAGCTGGAAGGACTTTGAGCACAAGGAGAGACGCTGGTTTTTCCCAGTCTTGTTTTAGAAAGCATCCTGTGATTTGGGTTAATGAACTTTATGATTGCTCAGCCGGGGACCAACACCTACCATTGAAAATTCCAATCCTAGAAGTGAAATCTTAGCAGACATGAGCAACCAGATGACCTGAGAAAGGACAAGTCATCTTGACAGCAAGAAACAAAGAAGCTTTTCCTACTCTGTGCCAGTGCTACACATCAACGTACAATTTAGGAAGCATTAGTGCTGGCCCAGAGCATCACTTTTCCCATTCTTCACTCAGCACAAGCCATTATGTCTTTGTACCACTTTATTAACATGCTTAACTAGCTCCTGACATTAATTCTGGGCTCCTTCAGCATCATTTATTTGTGTGCAGCAGCTTGTGTGATTGTGACCAGTTAAAATGCTGCAAAAGTAATATATTTTAAAGCAAAAAAGGTCATTTATCTCTTTTTTTTTTCTCAGTGTTTCCCTTGAAAATCTCTTCCGCTTTCCAACAAGTAGGCAAAGGAAGGCTGGGTATAACCTAGGTTAAATCTCAGTCTTGTCAGTGATCACACGGGCATAAGGATTCTAGCATCCCAGGAGACAGGACCTGAATTTGCAGCACTAGTCTTCATTATCTGAACCCTCCTATTATTCCATCACCCAGCACAAGGTCTGCAAAAGGCAGAAATCCTTCCAACGTGTGTCTGACACAAACCGTTGTCACAACAGGGTAGAAGTGGAGCTCAGGATGAAATGGACTCAGCTCATATCTCACTACTTTTAGAATGGGTTAATAATGGCAAAATAGCACAAATATTTGTCCAAGTTATTTCTCCTTCAAGTGGACAATGACACATGGTCAACACAGGCTTAAGAGTGGTGGCCTACCACAAGACCTAATACATTAAAATATTTTTCACATTTCCCACACTTGCCTGCAGTATTAATTTACCAGCACTGGAGCATCTGACATGGAACTCTTCATTCTTGATTTCATGTAGCTCAAACCAGTTTCAAAAACAAAAAACCCTCCCACTTCTCAAGTATTAAACCACAATTTAACAAACAGGCATTCCCTCTCATCAAGTTACTCCTCAAATAAGGGAACATTCGAGGAAGTCAGTGAATTTTCCTACCTTAACTCACTGTCAGTCAGATTTTCCAGATGTGGAACACTCATGTTGTGTCTAGCAGGCTGGGATCCTTCCTGGGCCCAGCCAGCTCTGTGTGCACTGCAGCGACTGCAGCAGAAGACAAGCCACGTTCATGAACTCCCCACACTTTCTAGCCTCCAGCAGCACAGAACAAGGCGTTTCCTTCAGCCTATCTGCTAAGAATGCATGAAATGCACTCCAACGAGTCAACCAGGTTAGGAGGTTTCAGGAACGAGGAAAATAGGATTGTAAGTAGGTTTAGGTTTGTTTGGGGTTTTTTTTATGACAATGTGTATACAATAAAGAAGATACTGTGGACTTTGGAAAAGTTTGGAGTAAGATAAAAAACAAGATATGGCAATGAACCAAACTTGCCCAGGATGATAAAGGATTTTTCCTATGTTACAGAATATTCACTCAAATTGGTAACAAACACCTATGAGAAAAAGACCTGTCTCCAATCCAGATAAACTGGATAATCAATTTTCTCACTTTTCTTTGCTGGATCTGTTTTAATAACTACAGGGAAGAAAAAGAAAAAAAACCAACATCTTGTTCTGCAAAGGCTGTAGCAGGAAAGAGTTTGTTTTGTTGGTTTTTTTGTTTGTTTTTTGTATCAAGTGTCCCAAAATTAGCAAATTGCAGCCATTCCAGAAATGCTAAACAGGGCCAAACTTGCCAGTCTCAGCTGGAAAAAACACACTGAGGAACTAGCCACCAAACTGGTGACATTACATCTTTCATAGAGTGGCTTAGGAGTTTGTTTACTCATCCAGAAAGCTGGAGAGCACAATCCAATTCCCTCTGCCTAAATACGTATGAATCCGCCCTCTGCCCTTCCCAGAACAACTTAACTACCAGGCTGGGAGAGTTCCCGTGACGGTGCTTAGTCTTTTATTGACACACTGTGTAAACACGTTTTCATTGTGACAGACTGGATTCCAGTCCACCAGCAGGGCAAGTCTTCAACATCTCCACTGCTCTGTCTCATACATCACAGATTTCCTCTGCTAAAGCTTTTCAAGACCATATTTGAGATCTTTCTCTCATGCTGATAGTTAAAGCTCTCCTCAGGTTAAGATGGCATCAGTTTAAAGATCCTATAAAGAACTACAGGGTAAAATGGGATTTTAATCCCTATTCTTCAGTACAGAAATTGAATGACTGATTTCCAGTGCTTTTGAAGCAAAATGTCAAAACTCTGAAGAAAAAAAATTTAACCTTTGAGAATAAAAATTAAAATTCTACTGGTCCTTATTAAAAATATCTTCACAATCTCAATTTTAACTACAGTGTCTGCAGTGATCCCTCCTGCTCCTTTTCTCTCCCTGCAGGTCCATTAACACTCCAAGCCAGGAAGAAGGCTGAGACCAAATCCATAAATAGGGAAAAAATACCATATTCCCACTTACAGTTCCAGCAACATGTCTACTGGGTCCCACTGGAAGTTCTGGCACGTTAACACATGTAGTTTATAAACTGAAGCCCCTGTGTACCAAATGCTATTGTATCTTTTATTGTGGAAAAAGACAAATATGTTACCTTGAAACTAATCAGCAGAGATGTGTTCCGTTCATGACTTTGTTTATTAAAAAGGTAGTATAAAACATAACCCCTTTAAGAAACAAATCGAAGACAAAGTGTATTCTCAGATGCTGTCACAAGTCCAGACATTATTCAAACAGCATCTGCTTTGTTAATGTTGCTTTTCTAAAGGATAAATGAAAATGATTAATTTATTAAAAGAAAATCTCCTAAAAAAAATTCCAAGTCTACTTACTGAAAAGTTTAACCTAACAATATAGTTTTCATACTTTTCATATTACAGAATGAGCAAAAAAACAGTTTTCTGCAAAAGATTTTATAATTCTATAAATATTTTACAGAACTTTCAGAGTATTCTGACAGTAAGATGTCAAGCCATAATGAGCACTACAATATACACAAGTCAAATCAACACAAATACACAACTCTCAGAATTCATTTACCATACTGCAGTATGTTTTTCTCAAACGCAGAAATAAAAATAAGAATTTAAAATCCAACTGAAATCTATAGGAATGTATTTTTAGTTTTTTTTATTCTAATTTGGTTTGGTGTAGTTTCAAGAATTCTGGGCATGAATATTGATGAAAGGCAAGTTTGGGTTTCCGTGAAGCATCCAACGTCTTCAAGTTTTCTTAAATGAATGAAGCTAATTATTTGTAACTGTTAATAGGTTAACCTTAACTGAATAACGTGTAGGATGTGTTTTAGCTAAAACGCACTGCATTTAATATACTAAAGATTTTAAGTGAATTGCAACCCTTATACAAACCCTAAGCTGTACAAGGGACTGAAATTCAATTAAAAAAAAATTTAAAAAGCCAGCAGGAGAAACAGATAAACATTTTGATGCAAAATGAAACTAATTCTCTCTTTACACCAGTATACAAACATTTGAGAACCTGCAAAAAAAAAGAGAAAACTTTCTAAAAAGCCTTTTATTTTGAGGCTTTTTGTCTCCAGGTGTCTACTTTGGCCATGTTCCTCCAGCACGTCATGTCTGGCGAATACCTGTAACTCCATAAAAATTCCTTCCCGCCAAACTACGGAACAGCATTTGATTTTAAAGCAAACTACCAATTTATCCTGAAGCTAAGCAATTATTTTGGATGGTTCAGAAAGTGATTCTGCCAAATTATGCTGAAGGATCAATTAATACTTTGTTGTATTGTATTGAAGTGGCTTTACATCCTTTTTTTTAACACTGAAAACTGGTAGGAACATCTATCCCTCTAGTTCAAAACTGAGCAAAAAGAATTATCCACAAAATGTTTCAGCCCGCTGCTAGTTACTGTTTTCATCATATACAGAGGAAAGGAGACAGATTCTCTTAAAATGAACCTCTCATCAAAAGCACAGGGATGGAGGAACATGCAGTATACTTGAACACTGGAATGGGACCTAAAAAAAACCTCAGAAACTGAGCAAAAAGGTTGTTTTTTCACTTCTAATGAGCAAGGAAAGTAAATAGAACACACTTAATTAAAGAAAAAATAAAGTGAGAATTCCTTTAGGGTTTTCATTTCTTACTAATTTATGTATGATGCTGATCACTAAGAAAAATACGTAAGTTTAAAAAGCAACTCTGCTTGTTCAGATGTGTTAAAATTTCTTATTAAACATTACTGCTCCATACTATAAGAATTTCATAATCATACTTCAAAATAGCAATTTTAACTTCTGTGAAAATTCTTGATTTTTGTTCAGACTGATTTATACAAATTTCATAAATTCAAAATAATTTTGTAAATAATTTCTAAAAGGAAAATATCAAAAGAATTTGGCTTTAAAGAAAATCTGCTGAAAAGAATCACAGCTGCATTAACCTCTCCTTGGACTATTAAATGCCTCAATAACTCAATTAATAGTTTATAAAAATATTTTTTTTTACATTTTACTGGGGAAAATGGAGGTAGACAAAACGAAAACATAAGTTTAATTCCACACTTGAGAACAACATATTTGCAAGGAAAAAGAGCTTTTATTACTTAAGAATCCTAGTTAATAGGAAAGCCAGTAAAGCATTTGGTCTCTGTCTTTGTTGGTGCTCTACTTTAGTGTGAGGTCTAAAGGAGAAGGTGAAAGGACTAGGAGCACACTGAACTTCCGCACCAAGCCAGTCAAATTTGCACATCAATTGGAGAGAGGAACATACAGCACATACAGCAATTCCTTATTTTTCAAAGTCTTATTTGAAACACTAACCTTGTTCTCCATATCTGATACCATGATAAGACTTCATAGAACTTTACAATTTTACACATATTTCCACAAGTTTCCCTATATCAGTTGTAATTCCACTGTAAAAGAAGTGATTTAACTGTGTAGTGTTACACAACTGGGCTCCCTTAAAAAAAAAAAAAAAAAAGGCAAACAAAACACCAGAGTAAGAACTCTAAAGCCTGGAGTCTACAAGCTGGAAAGAAAAAAGGAGCACTGAAAGCAATACTCGCCACACTAAACTACACTCCTCATATGCAAACACTTCCAGCTCTCAAAGGTCTGTGGTGCTTCTCACCAAAAAAAATAACTAAAGCAGAACCAACACAACCCAGAAATGTGTCTGAATACACCACTATGTGCAGCTACTAACTAGGCAGTGATCCAGATTCCCTGAATTCTTCAAACACCTGCTTACTGAAACACTCAATCCACACAATCTCTTGGAAAGATGAGAAAATTGACTTTTTTTAGCTGGCAAGAGCTACATCTCTTTATAATGCAACTCAAAATGGGAAATTTGTCATATCAGCATACTATGAGCCCCCAGACTTTTAACCCCTAAATTCAATTATGACAGCTATTTTTGTCACAAAAGAAATAACTCATAACCACAATGGCAAGTTATAACTTAGACGCTCTTGTTGGCATAGCCACCCACACATATTGACTATGTATTAAAAACTCAACAAAATAAACTTAGACAACCATACAGAATTCAAGAAAAAAAAATCTGTATGGTAATCTCAGAGGACAAAGTTTGAAAATAACATTTTCAGAGTATTCTGATTACCTCATGATGGAAATACAGCATCTATAGTTCCCTGCAACCCAATATGAATTAAAAAAATTAAAAGGATCCTCCTTGAAAATGTGCACTGGTAACCATCCATATAAACAGCATGCTATGAATTTTTAATTGTTTAGTGCGTAAATCCATGTTCTTCTAGCCTTCCTTATCAAAACAATGGAATTCTAAATTAAGAATGACTATGCCCAAAACAGCTCCCTTCAGTTATGTTTGAAAGCCTGCCACTTATTAAAATATCCTAAGTTAGAGTACATTCTAAGTCCTTGCTTTTGGAAATATTTTGAAGAGGACTGGCATTTGCTTTTTCCATATAAGACCACTATTTGAAAGCATATTTTAAAGTATTCTAACTTTTGCACAATAAACTGCAGTTTGGGCTGCCAAAAGCATTTAAACTTTGTGAAATATGGAAGATCCTCCCCACTGTGAAGAGCATACATAGCTAAATGAAAATGTTGAGAACGCACATTCATCACGCTAATAAAGTTAAGAAAAAACCCTTACTCTAATATAAAAGCAAGAACTAATAAAGCCACCAAAAAATCCAAAGTCTATTTTGATACCTACTGCATACAGATGATTAGAGCGTAAAACCAATGTTCTTATGGCCTAGAGTACATGTGTTCATGCACTTCTAGTCTCCTTGAGACAATTTCAGCCTCTAACATCAACAGAAGATCTAAACAGGGCAAGGAAAACTTCATTTGCTGAATGCTGTCAGTTAGTAACCTCTCTTCGCTTGGTTTGCCTTAGGGTTGCTATGGCAACACTGTCTGCCACTTTAAGCTTATGACCTGATACTACTCATTTGCCACCTAATACATAGCAACACATCCAATACATTCACCCTATCTGGAACATGACACATGCTCCATAAAATGATCCAACATACCAGGACACAAATGATTGAAATACTGAGAACCAAGGGAACTTAACAGGAAAATTAAATTAACAGTACAATCCACAAATCTTGTAAAACCTTTGCATTACATAAGTTACATATAGTTACATAAATTTAAGGGTTGGAACATATTTCACACTCACATCATGAAACACTGAGAAGCATAGTCAGAACAAAAGAAGCCTGATGACTTTTACTGTATTCTTGAAAACTTGAGTTACTTCACCTGAACAGCCAATTAATACAAACTTTTAGAACCCCATTAAATACTGTTTTTAATGAAAACTTCAAAGCACACAGTTGACGACATTCTAATACACCTATATAGGTATGAATATTGCCTGCAGTCACCCTGAAGAAAGGGATACACTCAAACATCACCCTAAAAATCATGGTTTCATAAAGCATTAGAGATGTTATGTATCAGCTTCACCATCACTGCCTGCAAGGCTGCTATCTGTGGATGGAGCTCCATCTTCATTAATACCCCCACCATTATTCTCCCTCTTATGAGTTTCATCATTTGGATCCTCCTTAGGTGTGTCATTAACCACTGGAGGTTGTTTCCCTTCAGGCAGTTTAACACTACTTGATGCAGAATCCGAATCAGATGTAGTTTGCTGCTCCTTTGCATCAGGATCCCCTAAAAATGACTCCCACACCTTGAGCCTTTCTTCCCTTTCTCTTGCAGTCTCCTCCACCTGTTAAAAAAGTGTTTATACACATCATTAGAGTCATACTTGTCAAAATGAGTATTTACACAGATGAAATGAAACAAATATTTATATTACAGAAATATTTTAAAGTTGACTGTGAACAAATTATCTATATCATCAGATATCCAGATATCATCAGATAACCAGCAGCTAATCCTCTAAGTTGACATTTTCAGTACGCAAACGGGTCATCTAATTTTTTGCTAAGTTGAATAATTGAGAATGATTTTTGGAGACTTTCTACAGCTTTTGAAGAGAGGCAAGTTAATGCAGGCATGGGCAGGGGAAGGGTATAGGGACAGGAATGCCAAGGACACCTAGAATTCAAGGAGATTTACTGTTTGGAATACATATTGGATAAAATAGAACCACAAAAAGCTACCTGATAATCTGTTACACCATCCCATGTTTCAGCACTGAGCTGACGGCCACCAAACCACCTTCCATTTAGAGTCAGCTTGCACAAATCAGCTTCTGTTGCTTCTTTAAATGACACAGAAGCAACGCCATCAGGGTGCCTCTGTAAGGACAGGCAACTTGCACTTAATATTTTAACTAATTCCAATACCCTTTATATTGTCTTAGAAAATTAGTCAGGATATAGCTCCATTCTGATCATAAATAACCATGTTTGAAAAGTTCAGTTTTCAAGTTTCCATATGTTGTTCTACTGGCACACAGAACACAATTTTTGAACACAGAAAACAAAAACTATTTCACTTAGCTTAGCTACAAATAATGTGTCCATACACTTTCAAATTTGCAACATATATCCAAGCTCCTGGAAAGAGCTAGTTGCCTTTACATAGGCTGAAGTATACAGGTGCTTAGACATTAAGTTTCTAAATTTTAAAAGTACAGAAAGATTAAGTCAAGTTTCCATGAAGTAAACACACCCAAATGAATGCTCCACTCATATTTAGAGCAGCCTAAATGTTTTGCACCTTTGCATATTACACCAATTCTGCCAACACAACATATAAAAATACCTACATCAAATATGAGAACCTTCTTTACTTGACCAAACTTTTCACACTCCGTCCGCAGATCTTCTCTTATCTCATTTAGCACTAGAGGGTCCTCCTACAAAGCAATCACACAGCTTTAATTAAACACAAGCACTCACTTCTCTCATCTCTATTTTAGCTCCAACAGCAGTGGTACATATCTGTCAATTTGTTAAAAGTCAATAAATTAAGTGCTGTTATGCTGCATTTTCAAAGCCACCTAGGAGTTGGCAGACAGTTCTCATCTGAATTTAATAAATACTACTTGTTAATAAAGCTATTTTGTGCTCATTTCTCCATTCTAACTATTATTGTTGTTTATTCCTCTTTCCATCCCAGTAAAGAGTATTGTCAGATATATAGGTTTTCCAGACAGTGAAAAACCCCAACTTGAAAAATACATGCTTATCAACATTTTCTCCTTGCTTTTGGAGAGAGATGAATAAATTTAAAGCAGATGTGTGGCACAGGAGAACACCCTTCCCAAACAGCAATTTAATTTTGTTTAATTTTGTTTTCACCTGCTTAGATTTTTGCTACAATTTGTATGGCAGAAAATTGAGACATGTTAACTTCTAACAGCACAAGCTACAGAAGCAAACTGCATCTTCCTACCTCAAAGTCCTTGGGGTGAAACATATTCCTGATAATAATGATGCGTTCATGCCGCATTCGAGCTGCCCCATCTTTCTTCTCCGGCCTCCAATCCAGCTGTCTAATGAAATGAAGCAACAGTAAGAAGATATTGTTGCGGCTCTCTTCAGTTTCTACAAGTATTTGTTGAAAAAAAAATCATTAATTTTGCATTTCTTGCAATATATTAACATATATTTTGACACATAGACTTAAGTTATTCTTGTAAAAAACACAGTAATTACCCAGGTTTACTACTGCTAGAAAGCATTTGAGGTTTTAAGGTACTCAAAGGCTCATAGAGGGAATATAAATAATTTTTCAAAGTAAAGTATTTTTTGGAACACTGAGGAAATATTAATGAAGTATTAATTCTTTCCTAATGTCAACTCAGATAAAGGAACCAGCTGTTGTCATGTGCAATTAAAATGTCAGTATTTCACCATTTTTTGCTAACTTATTCTGGACAAAAGGAGATCCACTAAACCGCTAGGTAAAATTTAACTGCTTTTATTTAAAAGAACATGTAAGAACACATCAACTCTTCCACAGGTAACACCACATGATGTACTTTGTTCCCCAGTGTAGAGCTACCAACACAAACTAATCACATAACCCAGCACATCTGTTCTAGGACTTCTCACAGCAAATCTTACTTCTTGTAGAAATGCCTACTTCATATCCTATTACAAAAACCCCCACAGGTTTACTTACACTTTTAAATCTCAAGATCATACACTGGGGTGGGGAAATCTTAAGTTTCTTCTTGTACCTGCTACTTTAGCTGAAGAAAACTTGGATTTCCAATAAGAGTAGTTATACCAGTAAATTAAACTCTTCAACTCAAAAGGAACACAGTGCTTTTATTCACACAAATTGCTGTCAAATGCAATTTCATACTTTTCATACACCCACCTACACACTGGAGACTTCTTACAGCAAGAACCATCAGTGTATTTTTGGGCAAGATATATTTCTGGCTTTAATTGATAAGATAACAAGTAGCCTCGCTCCCCTTAACTATGGGAAAACATTCCTGCATTACTATTTACAATGCTTAGTGAATGCTGTTTTCATTGAAATATCAAAAATATTCAAAGTTTTTTCTTCTGTAATCTACACCTTCTTGGTTCCAAAAGCATCTGCTTGGTTCCAAAAGGCAGAAGAACAATTTTTAAGAGACAAAATGAATCAAAGTGCAACTCAAAACCCAGTATATTTTATAGCAGAGAGAGATGTCTGGGGGAATCTACAGAGATAATTTAGTATTTGCTCCAAACAGCAAGCATTTCTTGACCTTTGCAACTAGTGCAGTATGGCACTAAATATATGTGAGCAGCCAGAGTGTTATGACCTTCCAACAGTAAGCCCAGATATTGTGACAGGACTTGCATGCTCTCATCCACTGAGGAGGAAGAGAGTCTTACTTCCCCAGAGTTTTACTATTTCCTTCTACATCTGAAGGAACCATTACTCCCTGTGTATTGCTTTCATGTGTGAATCACAAAGAAGTTCATCATATAAACTTAGGAGTTAGCCTCCTTCAAATGTGCAATAGTTAAGCTATTGCACGGTCAGGTAAGTTTGCAAACCTTAGCACTGTATTTGAAAGAAAGTACCGCTTTACTAATAGCACTTAGAATTCAAGCAATATTTTACTGAAATAAAAAATACAAACTTCTGCTGCTGCGACAACTTCTTCTTGTAGTCTTTACATTTCTTCTTCTTTTTGCTTGCATCGTACTCCCCCTTCAGCTGGAACTTTGCAACTTCCACATGCAATTTATAGCCTCGGATTTCTGCTTCATCCAGAAGCCTCAAAGCAAGTTGAACTGATTCTCTCTATTTGAGAATAAAACACAGTACAAACTTTAAAGCACATGGCAAAATCAAACTGTATTCCAATCACATGTCATTAAGTATACTGTGCTAAGAATCAAGTCCCTGTCACTGAAAACCATAATGCTGTCTTCTGACACACAGCTGGCACTGTTTTCTTGATCAAAACCTAGTATTTCTTCACTTCTGTTGTAATTAATTAATACTTGCAAGAACAGCTGCATATATTTCATTCAAATATATCACAGACACTAATCTGCAATATCTAAGCAAGCTGATGAACTTAAAAGCAAGAATAAAAAGGTTTCAGGGGACCAATTTCCTATAAAACAAGTATCACTCTTCCAAGAACAGCAGATGTTGAGACTCTTAAGTAATTTTTAATGTTTTCCTAAAAGTCGTTTAGAGTGAAGACTGTGTTTACGCTTGCGCACTCCACCATCCTAACTACTACAATTACAAAAATAGCACAGACTACAAGCCGTTTGATTTAGTACTGCCTGGTGCTTCTTGCAGAACTAAAGCCAGCTGCACTTGCAATCACCAACTTTCCAAATGATTCACAACTGCAACACATAAGGAAATAGTACTGCAGCCTAAACTTTTATGGCTTAATAAAGAATGAAAGCACAGTTCTGAACCAAGACAGTTCTCAATTAAAAGTTGTAAATACAGGACTACAGTATGTTTCTTGCTGGCTCATCACTTCTCTATTTTTGGTTACACAGTGGCACATTTTCAAATTAAAAGATGAAAATCCTCCCATTTCAGCCCATCATCTCTGGCACCCAGACAGGAGCATGTAGACACACATTCAACAGGTATTATGGTCATTTCCAGGATGAGGGTAAGGTTGGATAAGAGGAAACAAATGAGCTAAGTGGGCATTTCTGTGTAAATGATTAAAACAGACACCTATATTCCAAACTGTGCTTTAGATTTTCAAGAATCTTCTGAACGTGATTCTGAAACAATGGCCATGTGTGCCTTCAGTGGGATGGAAAACTGCATTTTAGCGTGCCACTGACCTTCAGATAACAACAGAGGCCATCTCCTTTAAGATTTCCTTCTTTATCTTTGTAGAGTTTGATCTTGTGTTCTTCTGTCTGAGGATCTCGCATGATGATGCCACATTTTGACATGACTTGTACAAATTCATCTTTTGTAATGTCTGGAGGTAAACCTGCAAAATAAATTCAAACACAAGGCTTAAGTATGGTCCATTTTAAAAAAAGCCTCATTAGAACACATCTTCTCCATGCGTTTATTTAAACTAAAGATATCAAAATAGACAACAATTTACATACACTGCAAGAAAACACTGCCCTTGGGCCTTACCTTCTAAGCATTACCTCACACTAGTATTTTGAAAATCCTTGTACTTTATAATAGGTGCAATGCGCCAAAAAATCTCTAACATGCTCCCTAACATGCACACCCAGAGATTTATTGTCACACATCATCAACACTGCAGCAGACAAAAAAGCCTCTGCAAATGTAACTCTCCTGCCCAAGCTTCAAATTCCACTGCACTTCTAGGTATCAGAGAAAAAAACCCAAAACATAAGAACACAACCTATAAACAGACAACTGTTTTCTCCACTCACAAATTCAATAAAAAGAGTAGCTGATAATGTATAGAGATTTTAAGAACTCAACTCTCCTTGAGGAGAAGAAAAAAACCAAAATGGATGAGAAAATTGTGTGGATGTCCCATGCCAGTTTGGCGTGCATGAAGATTTTTGAATCTTTCTGAAAATGATTGTGAAAATGCAAGTATGTGCACTCCTGCGACTGCTCACAATCACCAAGTGTACCTAAGTATAGGCATCTAAAGATAGCACCCCACCATCCAAAAGAGGTAGGAAAACACTGTAATAAATAAGTGAACAGATAATTTCATTTGAGCTTTCATGTTACTGTCTCACTGTGTTCCCAGTATTTTTTTACTGTTTCCTCCTTTTTACCTAATAATTATTTATTAGAGCAAATGAAAATTATAGATTAAGCGGTGCATATAGTTGATCCACTGTCTCATCATAAACTTGTCATTATCATATCCCTTAAAAACCTGCAGAAACCGCTTTTCTTTGAATAAATTAGTGACTTGGCTGACACAGCTCACAGAATACCCCATTTAACAGATAAAAGCATGGAATAACATCCATTCTACTTCCTTCCCACATCTGCAATTTAAAGGTCACAAAGACATTACTCAGTCAGGAATATAACATTAAGCAGCTTGCAAGTGACAGATTGAACAGATAATATTAGAGACATATGAGTCTCTTTTACCATCTTTAGCTCAAAGTAGATAAATAAACATTATTACTTACCTGTCACATAAACATTTGTGTTCCTGTCTTCTTCAACATGAAACCAGCCTAAATACAAGAGTTTAATTCAGTTATAGTAATACATTAAACATAGTACCATAAACATTTACATTCCATCAGATTTATAGGAATTTTTGCTTGCTCACAGAAAAGTTCTGAACATGCCTTGCTGTTTTTCCTTTTGTATACAGATTCAGGAAGATACCTATGAAGGACCATACAATTACAGAACCATTCTGCAAATTACCAGCACAACCTTATCTTTGCTGTACCAGATAACAATGATCAACTGCCAGTTTTCCCTCAGTACAACACAGGTCACAGCCTACGCAGAGGGAAGTGCTTTATCACTTACCTGGCTCTAGCTTCCTTTTTTCCAATTTTTGTTTTGGATCTGTTTGCTTTCGTCCTGTCTCAACTGCTGATGGTTGTGTTCCTGACTTCTCAGAACTTAACGGTTGCTTACTTTCAGTGGCTGTACCAGAAGCAGATGAAGTATCTGTCTCATCTGCATGGAAGCCATAGTTGGCATGATAGGTTGCCAGGAAATCTTCTGTTATCTGAAAAGAAATTAGGAAAAATAAATAACATTTCAAAGAAGTATAAAAGTTAGTTAGGTGATGGTCATTCTCTGATCTGGCAACATAGAAAAGAACAATATTTTAAAACTTTTTAAATGATCTTTGCAAAGCCATACACACAACAAGAACCATCAGTTCAGGCATTACCTGAACTAGACCAAAACACAAATTCCAAACGTAAGCATATGTAATTTTTACACAAACATTTCACAAGTTCTGCCATTTTTCAAACGAAGCTTTCTGCTTTCCATGCGAGTTCAATCTGCCTGAAGGACAGAAACCAAGTGCTCCTGGCCGTGGCGCAGTGTTAAAGTGATACTGATGGTAAGCCAACAACCGATCCACAGATGATGAATGACTGACATTTGCAGGCATCTGCCTTTTCATGGAATCATTTCCAGAGATGACATATTTTTGTGTTGACAGGCAGTAAATATTGCACTTAACCAGACATGTTAACACATTGCTTCTAAGGCAACAGGCTTTACATTATATCCTACAAATAGATAGAGAGAGACTACATTTGGATAAAATATAAGATTGGCCAATGCCTATGCTTTAGAGATCAAAATAGAAGAAAAAAAAAAAAAGAAAAATTACACACAGCACTTCCAGCCACTGGCAATTCCAGGCAAAGAGATATATCATAGCTCCTTCTGTGAGCATCCCCACATTATGAAGTAATTTCTGAAGTTGCACACTCTGAAATATTTTTTTGCAAAACTGAGCCTTAACCTTTGAAAAATCTTATCTGACTCTGACCTTTGCTGCACTTGCTTCATTTGTATTGAAAAGGAAACAAAACTTCATGCCATTAAGCTATTGTTAGAGAGCAATTTCAAGTGTCAGTTATGAAAATGTAATCTCTTATCTTCCATAGTAATTTGAAGCTTGATGTTTGAACTCTAAAATTTCATTATGACAAATCAGAAATGCAAAACTGACAGTAACAGGCTTGTCATGAATAATGCAAGATGCCATGGAATCCCATAACTTTAAAGGTTAACACAAAATAACTCTTAGGCTAAACAAGATTTGCCACACACCTCGATGAAGAATGTAAGTGGCTGCTCTTACAGGTATGACGTAAAATAGCATAAAGACAAAGTACAACCACATTTAGTGAAAAAAAAAAAAAGAAGACTCTGCTCTAATCAGGTTCATTACCTTTGACATTAGCCATCTTAGCAAATCCTTAGTGCCACAATTGATGAGATCCAGAGAATTAAGAAGCTTCTGTACTTGATGGTGAACAGCATTATTAATTTTCATCAGAGAACCTACTCGTAAATTAGCGATTAAACCTGCAAAAGCATTACTTTTCAGTTTCTGGGGGAACTGCACTCTGTGTAAACCTCCATTTATTCTTAGCAAATTATCTACCACAGACTACAAAATTCTAACACTCTGTAAAAAGATGTTTTTTGCATAAAACACTATCATCCTACCATATAACCATTACCACTACTTCACCTTAAAATGTCTTTTACAAGCACAGAGGAGTTTATACACACAAAGGCTTTTATTGGAACTCTTGTCATACCTGACAGCACTAGAGACAAATAGTCACAGAACTACTTACTGGGCACCTCAATCCAGTTCTGGTGGAGAACATCAGAGATCAGTCCTACCTACACATGCACACAGTCACACAGTTTGGGGTGATTAAGCTTATAGAAAAAGAAACACAATACTGGAGGACATGTGAGCGTGTAATTAACTGCTGGTGCCACTGAAATGGAAAGGAATAGAACAACCAAATGAATTTGTGCTTGCAGATGACAGCCAACGTCTGTATTTTCACAGCAAGTGATGCAAGCAGCAAATGAATTTCATGTGTAATTTTGTGCTATGTCTGTGAAGCACTAAAAAAGTTGGTATTCATCTATACAGTATCACTGAAATAAAAATAATTAAATAACAAACATTGTGGTTTCTTCTATTAAATATTTTACTGTCTCAAATTTTTTCTGGGGAATGCTAGCAGATAATATCATCACTATTTGCACTGCTTTGAATTATGCTTTAGTGGAAGTTCAGCAGACACTGTATTCCCAAAGCAGAGCAGCAGTGCAATCCCAGTCCATAGATAACAATTACTTAGACCAGTCAGAATATTTTAAGCTTTTGTCAAGAAACAGAGATTAAAAATTTCATTACTGCCCAAGGAGAAAGAAGTACAGCTTCTGGTTACAACAGTCTCCTCGTTTATCTGGATAAAAAAATTCTGTTAGTAATCATCAGAAAAACTCTATGGGATCCAGCTGGGTAAAGAATCCTTATGCAGCACTGTGGGTCATGGATACATCACCAACTTCTATTATACATCATATTCACTAATGAACTTTTCTGCTCCTATTTAACCTGTCCAACCTTTAATGCTATCTCCTCTCCAAGATGGAACAGACAAGAAAAGCACTTAGGAAAGACAAATGCTACTGACAAAAGACACATTTCAAAAGAGAGGCAAGACGGGGAAGAAATAGGAGCAAAATAAGAAGAACCCTCTTACAAATTACTGTACTTACTGGATATAGCACCACACAGGGTGCCAGGAATGCTCATTTCTCCACTGCTCCACTTTCTGAGTCTGTATTTTTCACATTTTTACCCCTCCGTAAGCCATCTGCTCCTCAGACACCTTCCTAGGTTTACAAGCATTCAAACTTGGCACTACAGGCTTCACTCTCACTCAGATTCTCTGGATTGCAATGAATTCAAAGTCACAAACTAGAATTGGCAGATTACATCCATCAAGCAGATGCCATAAAATGTCTAAAGATTAAATTAAATAACTGCCCTTCTTCATTGCTATATATAAGAAAAACTACTATTTCACTCACAAATCAGTAGATTGGCTCAACATATTAAATTTATGTTCACTCGCCCCTTGAGGAGTGTTATTATAGCAAGATCATATTTCATAGTTAAAACATTTAACAAATTATTAAAAAACGAAAAACTGTAACACATTTCCATGCTGTGGAATGCCACTAAGACAAATACACTTATTTTTCAAGTGCACTTCTTAGACTGATGGAGATGGAACAACACATCCCTTATTTGACATAATTTTCAAATAACAATGAAAGAGACATAATACTACTCTATTTTCATCTAGACTTTGTAACATAATAATTAATTTCTACACTACCCACAAAGAGATCACCAAAGCTACTGTGACAGAGACCTAAGCACATCCCAGGCACTTCCGATCAACATTCACAAATATAACCGTGACTTCATCCCAGGCCCGAACTCTACAGATTCTCCGCCTAGGGGAACAGCCAACGGGTAGCTCCTCACGACAGCGCAGACGGTCAAGGACGGAGACGACACCGTGGTTCTGTCGGTAAAAAGGTGTTTTGGTGCTGCTGAGACTCGCAGCAGACAAAACGTGAGTGAATGCGGACACCTCGGTACCGACGAGATCCGTCATCAACCGCTCCTTCTTCTCCCCATTCCCTGGGGCTCCCCCGTACCTACCTTGGGGAACCAGGCCTTCTTCTCCAAGTCCCACTCGTAGGCAGCCCCGTCCGCTGGGTCCACGTAGGTAAAGGGGTCAGACTCCTCGCCTTCGCCCTCGGCTGGCTTGGCCTCGTACTGCTGCTGGAGCTGCAGCTGCCGGTAGAACTCCTCGTTTCCATCCTCGCCGCTCATCCTGCCCCGTTCACTGGGCTCGGGCAGCAGCGCTCCTTCCGCCGCCGCCTGAGGCACGGCTGCCCAGCCCCTCTCGGCGGCGGGAGCGCGCGCGGACAGCCCCGCACCTCACGCGGCCGCCGCAACCGGCCCGGCCCCGGGCGCGCGCACAACACCGGAAACACCCCACCCGCCGCCGTACCTTCCGCCCATCCCACCCCTTAACCCCGAGTTCAGGCCAATGAGACGAGCGGTGTTGGGTCATGCGGGGTGCGGCGGAGCCAATAGGGAGCGGGGGAGGGCGGGGCCATAGGCGGGGCCATGGGCGGACCCACAGGCGGGGCCGTAGGCGGGGCCACGGGCGGGCCCACGGGCGGGCCACGGGCGGGCCACGGGCGGGGATGGTGTTCCGCCGCTGGGCGGGCCCTCAGGTCAGTGTGTCCATCGTGGGAGCGGGGCAGTTGCCGCAGCGGCCTTGCCCGTTTTTCTCTTGCCGTGTTTTTTTTTCCTTTCCCTTCACCGTCAGGCTGCAGCGCTGTTTCGCCACAGGCAGGGGCTCTGCATGACGACAGCTGCCCCAGGCGCACCAGTCTGCTTTGGGCGAGAAGCTGTACCTTGATCGGCTTTGCATGGGGACTGCTGCAGCTTTACTTACATGAGAAATAAAAGTTTAGGGCACAGAAAGTCCTCCCTGCTGCATAGTTTTCCCCATTGCGTCTACGACAACACCGGACATTGAAGCTGTTTGCTGCCAGTGGTGCTGTGCAAGGCTGGCTGCCGTTCGGCACTTGAAGTGTACTCATGTCCTACTAGAGGCAAAGGTAGAACCAAAAATAGAAACATGAGATTGAAATGGCACTCTAAATGTCACGAAATCACACTGCTTCTCTCTGCTCTCTTGGCTGAGGGTGTCCAGTTGTTGTGTTCCCTTAGGAAAGGATTGGTACATCGTATTAGTGGGATGAAGCTTGACTTCAAAACACTCAGTTTCTTTTGCATTGATGAAGTCTGCCATTCCTACTCTGTCTGTGGATACTTAAATATTTTAAATACAAATTTCTCCCAGTTCTTTTAAAAGCCCTTCATCTAGTGCCATCTATTGGTTTTTACAGTGTATCCCAGACAGCATTATATGAAAACTGAATTTTTATTGCTATTTAATTGTATTTTAAAGTATTTCTATTTAGAGGATTAAGCAGCACACTCTTCATGTTTTCTTTTGCAAACCTTAACCTAGAGTTGTAAAACCCCGTGTATCAGTGTACATGTTATGAATTAAAACTGAGCTATACAGCCACAGCAAAGCTGGCAGTGGCTGGTTGCCAGGGGTAAAGCAATATTTCCACTCAGAAATAAAAATAATAAACAGAAGTTTTCTGGAAATCAGTATACCAGGAACAAATATACAGACTGGAATGACAATAAAATCAAAGACGTGATTGTGAAGCCCTGCAGGGAGAGGTGAACATCAGCTCCCTGCCTGGGCACCAGGCTGTCAGACAAAATTGCTCAGGATATAGGATTCTAGTAACCTTTCCTGTTGCACAAAAAACATCCAGCCTAGTTAATGACATTTTTGATGCTTCAAGAATTTTCTCTAGGCAGGTCTATTACGGTAGTTGTCTAGAGATTGCTTTGTGATCCTTTATAAGCTTACCACCTAGGGGACATTTGTCTTCACTTTCAGTTATTGGATTTTGGAGTGGAGCATGAGAGTCTTGACATAAACTGTGCTTTCTTATAAAATATGGAATTGGGTATATATTTGGAAATCAGATAATGATCGCCTTGAACTTGTAAGAGAAATACAATTTAAGTCTTAAATTGGTTGCTTTATTTTTGCAAAGTTTTTAATGTTTATGACCTGAGTGTTTGCAGTGAGGTCTGTACAGGTTGCTCTGCTGTGCAGATCTGCCTACAGCAAGGCACTGGGTTAGTCCTGGTGAGCAGGAAATCCAAATTTATTCTCAATCCAATGGGAGTGAGAGAGTGCTTCTGTGCAGTAGGGTTAATGCTCAATAAATCTGCTCTGCACACTTTGATGTAGTTAAGAGGACAAACTGCCTCGTGTTCCCTCACACTTTGTGTAACAGAATGTGTCACAGCAGCTGCTGCAGCACAGCCTCCAATGGTGTCACTGTCGTCTGTTACCTCATCCTTGGAAAAGACACAGTGAACAGCCCAGGGAGATGACTCAGCTGGAAACTCATCATTTTGTGGGGTCAAGACAACTTTCTTCTCAATCTCACCCTTGAAATTACATAGATCATGGCTGCACAAGCACTGCTGCTGCAGGCTGCATCTTCTGAGGAGGGTGCAAAGAGCTCGAGCATTCCACAGCTTGGATCAGTCCAATATGTCAAGAAATGATGTTTTAAATTCTGGCAAAATGTCTCAAAGTAAATATCAAAATGAGGCATTAGCATGATGATTCTGTATCTGTGTCTGTGAGATACAAGCCAATTTTGGCTCATCGGAGCTGATTGGTGTTCTAAAGATACAACCTAAATGTTGTTCTAGAGGTACCACCTACTAAAAATACAGATAAATTGTTTTTCCTGAACTGTTTTTCTCGCTTTAATAGGGGAACCAGCAATTTGCTGGCTAATCCTTAATTAGGTAGACACTATTTTCCTGAGCTGCTTTGTTATGTTAAGGCAGTAACTAATGACTAAGTACAGACAGGCTACTCCTCTTTGAGCTTTTCAGGGGTCTGGAGCCTGTAGCTGTTACACAGATTACTGACAGTGATGAAGAGTCTTCATGGTAGTATAAATTACAGAACCAGTACAGATGTACTAAAAATTCAATATCGTGTCCCATGCATAGAAATTCCACATCACAGTTCACCTTGCATTGAGGGAACCACCTGTGGCAGAGTAAACCACCAAATGCTGATTAAAGCCCATATTACATCTTTAAAGTAACACTGATTGAAATGTGCAAGTGCTGTAGCTGTGTGTACCTTTGGGTTATTCTTTAATTGTAATATTTTCAGCAGAAACACAGGCAGCCCATGTAAAATAAAACAATTTTTATGGGAACAGGAGTTTTAAAATGGCTGTAATTGTGTAACTAACATTTATACCCCAGTCACTCTCACTTTAGTAGTGTTTTGACATAGGTTTCTTAATTTTTGTGGATTTTGGGGGGGATTAACTAACTACTGATCTTGAAACTGTTGCTAATGTGCACATGAAATGTGTACATCTCATTCACAAAACAAACTAAAAAAAAAGTATGTCCTAGAAGTTGTATTTACTTTCTCAGTATGACTCCACATGGACAGAACCTTTGAGGGAGTCAGCCTTTCAGTACTTTGTGCCTTTTTTTCTACCTATTCTTATGCCGTGGACATAAGTAGTGAACCCCTAATTATTCATCCCTTTTATTTGCTAGATAATACTCAGTATTTAGGTAAATAGATTGTATTCCCACACGCTCTTCTAGAATTACACTTGTATTACTTAGGGATGAAAGAATCTGGTTTTGGAACACTGAGAAAAGATTGCAAAGGAAACAGCCCTTTTCCCCTAAATCCAGTAATGGTAATGTGGAGGCATTTTATGCATTATGATATTGTGGGGAGTAGATGTAATAAATAATATCAGATTGGTTAGATAAAAATATACATTGACCCATATATCACTCCAATACATCATGCCATGAATATTTGAATGTACAGAATTATCAATGCATAAAGTACACAGAATAATTAAATTGTGGCTTGAAATATTGCCAGTCTTTAAACAGAACATGTACAGAATGTAGCAAAAACATCAGTTTTGTAACAAGATATATTCACAGTAGAAAGACAGTTCAGTTAGAGGAGGAGTTATGCAAGCAAAAAGTAGCTACATGCAAAGGAAGAAAAATTGTGAATTAGGAAACTGGGTTTTAAGGGTTAGCCAAAGATTTTGCAGTGGGAAATTTGGTCTCTGACAGAGACAAATTGTGAAGTCCAGAAACACGTAGCTCTGTTTCCCAAAGACACTACTAAGCTAAAATAAAAAATGCTGTAAGCAGTGGTATTGTTGGTGGATATTTCTTTTGTTTCCAATTCCCTATAGTAAGATCCAGGAAGATAAACGTAGGTTCCTAAGTGTGTATGCTGATCTACTTATTTCAGTCTCACTCTCCAGCTCCATGAAGGAAAGAGAGAAGAAGAAAACAGCAGTGCAACATGTTCATATTTGTACATGGCTCTCTTCCAGGTAATGTGTTACATTGAGACAAAGAGAGAAAAATAAGGTCTCTGGAGTCTGCTTTGCCATAAATTATATTTCTGTATTATTGGATTTCCATTTATTTCAGTGATCCTATCCTGGTGTGCAATTGGTACAATAAAAGGAGGAATCCATTTGAAAATTAGTGCTTGCAGCCTTGCAGCTTGTAACATGAGGATCATAGTAAAACAAGGCCAGGTCTGATGGGATTAAACTGGTCCGTCATTAATTGGTTTACGATGATGACAGAGGTTGTATTGCAATGCCCCTGGGAATTATAATTTGGTTTTATTTTTCTGATTAGAGCAGGCAACAGAGAGAGTCTGTAAATACATTTTCTCATCTTGTAATCGACTTAGTTAATGATGCATAAGTGGATGGATTTCCAGCCATATGTTGCTAAGGGGCTCTGTGCAGTTGAAGGGGGGATATACCTTCAAGGGTTAGTTAAAATTGAAGCTTCTGTGACTGACAGAATTATTTTAGTTCATATGCTGCAATTTCTGCTCTATATTTTAACACACAAATTCTTTCTTGGAATAGAAGTCCCCTAATTTAAACAATAGAAAATCTATTGTGTTTTCTATCACCAGCTTCCACAGAAGAAAATTTTGGTTCAGGGAACATAAAATTCATAAAAATAAGTGTCACTCAAATATTTTGTGACATGGGGTAGGAAGACTTGCCTCCTGTACTTCCTGATGGGAAAGCAGTCCCTGCCAGCAGTGCTGCTGAGCATGGACAGGCTGTTCTGATTTGCCTCTTCAAACCCAGTCATAAAGTCAGTGGATTTGA